CATTGGGAGTAGGAATGCCCTGGAATTGGTGGTGTTTGGGAGTAGAAATGTCTTGTAATTGGTGGTCATTGGGAGTTGGAATGCCCTGGCTTTGGTGGTTATTAGGAGTAGAAATGCTTTGTCATTGGTGGTCAGTGGGAGTAAAAAATGCCCTGGCATTGGTGATCAATGGCAGTAGGATTTCCCTGGCATTGGCTATCAATAGAATTAGGAATGCCCTGGCATTGGCTATCAATAGAATTAGGAATGCCCTGGCATTGGCTATGAATGGAATTAGGAATGCCCTGGCATTGCATAACTTTAAAGGGTGCTGTGTCTGGGGGGAAAAAAAGGTTGACAAACACTGAACTATAGTACTTCAGTAATGTTCAAACACAACTGACGATGCTACACATATATACTGTCATTTTAGAGCCCACCAGTAATATACAACACAAAGAAATGTAAAAAAAAAAGTGCTAACAAGGCATGATGTTTTTTACTCCTTGCCTGTAGAAATCTTTGCTTTGCAAGTTAATTATAATTTAGGTATAAATTTTAGCTATTAAATTTCTGTTTTGAAAGAACAGCTTCACTAAGCAATACCTGCGACCACATAACTTCACATTAATGGTCAATTAAAGTCAGAGTCTTTGATTTTGGGGTCTGGCTTTGAATCTCATACACATATTGAAGAATTTTAAAGACACCAGTTAACGTTATATTTTGTGTAAAAATCAGCACTGCCTTTAGAATCTAGGAAAGTTGTAATCTTGTTTTTTAATGAGCAGTAAAAGGAACGATTGATTAGCAGAATGTGTTTATTCTCCAGTCTTTTCAGTATTCCAGTGTTATGCATTTATTGCCAGGTTAAATCTGAAGTCCAGGCTAAAAAAATTGTCTAAATTGCAGATTTGTGTTTTCTTACTTGAATCTGAGAGTCCATTGCAGATCTGTGCAGTAATTCACCATGAGAAAAAAGTCTCACTTTCCATACATGCTAGTTTCCTGTAAAAAAGACTACAGGCATGTTCGGATCCTAGTTTGAACCCTACGGAACTATCCCGCTAGAAAACTGTGTCCCACCAATCATAAGTGGCTAAAGCATTCCCCGCCCTGCAGCTACAAATATACATGCCATGCCAAGTGGGAAATGCCTTAGCCACATATGATTAGTGGGGCGCAGTGACAGTTTTCTGTTGAGATAGCTCAGGTGTGTTCAGACTTCTATCCGAACATGCCTGAGCCCATTCCTAGTACAGGACAATCAATGCTGCTCTCTCTACCTTTGCAGAGTAACTTGTCTTTTATTCGCATACAGAAAGCTTATAGTAGGTGGATCTAGATGGATTCCCACCCACAGCTCTGCTGCCTGCTCAGGTTAAGTGCAGCCCAGTGATGATGTCACTGCTATTTTTGCAAGGTAATATTGGGGTTTGCAAAAGCATATGATCCGCACAAAACAGATTTATAGCCTTGAAATTTTTATAATCCTTGAATTAAATTAAGTTTTTGTGTCTGCAGTTCAGCTTTAACTATGAAATCCTTATCTTTCCTTAAAGTGGTAGTAAAGCCACTTTGTAATAAAGCTTACCTGTTGGTAAAAAGAATATCTCCTAAATGTGCACTGTTTAGGAGATATTCATGTTTTTCTTACAGCAGCGCATGTGCTCTGAAGGAACAGCATACCCGTGCTGTTCCTTCAGAGCAGTGCCATGTCCCGAGACTCCCGTGCGCATGCGCGGGAGTGGTGTCATCACGGTTCAGCCAGCCAGATGGCCAGAGCTCACAAACCTGGAAGGAAGACTGGCTGAAGATGGAAGCCTCTACATCGGTGACAGCACGCCGCTGGAGGGCTTCGTTTTAAGCTAGATTTTGCTTAATGTGCTAGTATGCAGTACATACTACAATCCCTGGTAAAAAGTATGTCATCACCACTCTTGGATAATGTTCATTTAGTTGTTTAATTGCGTAGGAAAAAAAACAATCACAGACATGCCTCAAAACTATTTTCATTTTAACATCCCAACCTTCTTTCTTTAGGAGACACTTAGAGTAAAAAAAGAAAGAAAACTAATCAGTTGCAACAGTTTTTTTTTTTTTTTCCAAAAAAATTTATTTTATTGACATAAGAGCAATCAAGATAGCATATAGAGCACATACAGCTATAAATCACATTCAGAATATGGACCTGACATGTTGTCTCCCGTTTCACAGACGGGACTCATTGTACACTGTAATTCAAGGCCATATGGAATGGAACAATACATCAAACATACACTACAACCAATGGATACGCACAGGAAAGAGAATCCAGTAATGTAGGTGTGTATGATCACGTCTTGAGTCTCCACATTTAGTTATGATGAAGTGGTAGGAAGAGTAGGGTATGGAGGGCACTGGATGTTGTGGACATCATGGCTTACTTATTCAGAACGTTAGTGTATGATATGGTGGCGGTGAGTCATTTCTGTGTTAACGTGGGTGCTCTATTCTGGATGGTGGTGAAAGAATGATATGGTGGAGTGACAGATGTGGAAAGAAAAAAAGGGGAGAGATGGGAAGGAAGAACAGAACGAAAAAGAGATGCAGGGTGAAATGGTGGGGGAATATGGGGGAAGAAAGAGAAAAAAAAAAAAAAAGGGGAATTTTTTATGGGGGGAGGGGGAGAAGTAATAGGTTATGCGGAGGTAGCGTGTACAGGTACTAAGAAATTAAGATGGATCACATCCCCAAGTATTAGCCAAGCAAGAAAGGTAGTTATAAAGCTTAGAATATGAAACGAGTAAGGTCAGACAGCGGGGTAGCACGTGGATCAGAGACCCCGTTAGGTTTGTCAGAATATGTCCCTACAGCCCATCTTTACGCAGTTGCAACTGTTTTTGCAGCTCAAGTAGAGGAAAGAAATATGGAATCGCTCAATTCTGAGGAAAATATTATGGAATCACCATGTACTTTGCATTTCTAAAACAAACATCTACACCAGAATACATCTGCTAATTCGTCTGCAGTTAAAGAGTGCTTGCACACCTTGGTGAGCTGTTGCACCAAGCTGATTGAATCATGGCTCCAACACCAGAGATGTCAGTTGAAACAAAGGAGAGGTTTATAAAACATCTTCAAGAAGGTAAATCATCATGGAATGTTGTACACATCAAATGGGAACGTTGTAAAAGGGAAGCATACTGGTAGAAGGAAGACATCAAAGTGTTAAGACAGAAAACTTAAAGCAATATTATTATTATTATACAGTATTTATAAAGCGCCAATGGTTCGCTCAGCGCTGTACATTACAAAGGGGGACAGAACATGTGACAGAACAATACCAATACAATGCAAAACATGAGGGGATTGAGGGCCCTGCTCTTTTAAATGGCTTGAAAACAGAAAATGCACAACAAAACAAATGAGGAACATGTGGTAGAAACTAGAGTCAATGTCTGTGACCGAACTGTAAGACATCACCTAAAGGAAATGGGAATTACATACAGAAAAGCCAAACGAAAACCATTATTAACACCTAAACAGAAAAAAACAAAGTTACAGTGGGCTAAAGAAAAGCAATCATGGACTGTGGATGACTGGATGAAAGTGATATTCAGTGATGAATCACAAATCTGCATTGGGCACGGTGATGAAACTGGAACTTTTGTTTGGTGCCGTTCCAATGAAATGTATAAAGACGACTGCCTGAAAAAAACATGCAAATTTAAAAATCATTGATGATATGGGGTTGCATATCAGGTAAAGGTATGGGGGAGATGTCAATCATTAAATCTTCAATAAATGCATACGTTTATATGGAGATTTTTCACACTTTTCTTATTCCATCAATTGAAAGGATGTTTGGTGACGATGACATCATTTTTCAGGATGATAATGCATCTTGCCATAGGGGCAAAAGCCGTGAAAACTTTCCTTCAAGAAAGACATCAAATGTCAATGGCATGACCTGCAAATAGTCCGGACCTCAATCCAATTGAAAATCTATGGTAGAAATGAGAAAACGGTCCATGACAAGGCTCCAACCTGCAAAGCTGATCTGGCAACTGCAGTAAGAGAAAGTTGGAGCCGGATTGATGAAGAATTCTGTTTGTCTGAACTCCAGAAAGGGATATATTTTTACATACTTACATAGGACCAGCAGCACAGTGGCTAAATGGATAGCACTTTCGCCTGGCAGTACTAGGGTCATTGGTTCGAATCCTAGCCACGGCACCATCTGCCTGGAGTTTGCATGTTCTTCCTGTGCCTGCGTGGGTTTTCTCTGGGTACTCCGGTTTCCTCCTACACTCCAAAGACATGCTGGTAGGTTAATTGGATCCTGCCTAAATTGGCCCTAGTATGTGTTTGTATGAATGTGAGTTAGGGACCTTAGATTGTACACCCCTTGAGGGTTAGGGACTGATGTGAATGTACAATATATATATATATGTGTAAAGCACTGCGTAAAATTGACGGCGCTATATAAGTACCTAAAATAAATAAATATAAGGTTGTTATGATTAAGGCGGTGTAGGCTGAAACACATCAACTGACTATACTTGCATATTGTACACTGGTTTTCAGAATAAAAACAAGACTTTAGAGAGATATCGGTGCTGCGGATCAGCTCTGTAGATTACCATTTTCAGATGTGCGACCCGTGGATCAAGCATCCATGAGCTCCACTGATGATGAACTAAATGGGTAGCAGCACTGGATTTTTTGTCTGTACAATGTAAGTATGTATACGATATACCTCATTGGCCTCTGTGGAAGCTGTAAACCTCTGTAGCCCCGGCTACTACAGCAATTTACAGCTTCCAAATATACCAATAAGGTATCACTGCATACTTACATTGTCTCAAAAAAGATGGGAAAGGTTTGAAACTGATATACAGTATGTGTAAAAGAATAAACATCTTAGTTATTGTGATTCTCTCCCTCTCTAGGAGGTCTATTTTTTTCTGTACGTCTATACAAAAAGTGGCAACTTTCACTAGTAATGGACCCTAGTTGATCTTTAAGTGTTACTAAACCCAGGACCCTGCATTCACTATATCTGGTCTCCCACAGTACACAGAACATGGAAGTGCAATTTTAGCAAATATAAACTGCTAAATACCCTTTCTCATCAGCAGTATATAGCAATCTTGTAGGAGGAGTTTTCATTCTTCTTTGACTGTCCTATGAGGCTGCATGACCCCTGACAGAAGTCTGGACAGCGCTGATTGGCCTTGTGCCGAATACATGCACCCTCCCAAAAAAAAAAACTCTGTAGCAATACACATTAAATAGAGCATGTGCAGACTTGCCACTGCTGCTCTGTACTAAGGCAGATAGATTTAAAAGAAGGGGAGGCTCAGAGAAGACAGGATCAAACAGCATTTTTTCTCAATGTGGAGAATAAACCCCGTAGGTTCCACAGTGACTATAATAAGCATGCTTTACTGCACATACGGATGGATTTTACAGTTGTAAGTTTAGCAACACTTTAAATTAAGCCCTAGATATTTCAGTGAAGAGGAAGATGCCCATGAGAACAAAGACAAACAAGTTATAGCTGATAGAAGCTGAGGTGTTGGATGTATTGCTAACATCTGGGACTTAAGCTGGGTACACACTGACAGTATTTTTTTTTTTTTTTTGTTCAACCAGCGGGTTGAACTAAAAAAACTGACAGATCCCTATTCCAGCACAAGCGATGTTGGTGTAGCAATCTCCCCTGTTGTTCTATTGAATTCTGACAGTGAGGAGGCTCATCCCCCTCCCCACCAGAATCGCAGATCAGCGTTTGCATCTATAGGTTTTCCAGCATGTCCCTTCAACAGAAGCCAGTCATTAGACTGACTTCTGCCCGACAGATGGTGGCACACATGTACTGAAAGTCAGCTGGTTCCTGACCAGCTGATTTTTGGCCAGTGAGTACCGGGCATTAGAGGAGTTGGTTTTTTAAAGGGATATTTTTCCTTATTCCAGAAGTAGTTTTTGCAATTCAGGTAAGGCATGCAAGGGGTTTGTTAGGGAAATCGATACTTCATTGGCATAGAGTCTGAATTAGTGTCCAACTGTAAATACCACAGTGTCTTTTGTTAGAACGAATAGCCTCCGCTAGGGTTCCATAAGTTGGGTAAAAACTAATATGGGCCAGGGGGGACCCCTGTCTCGTGCCACAGGTTGTATGTTATGTCACAAAAAGATAATATCACTGATTATTTGCAGTTCTTAGAACTGACTGGACATTCCATTGCCTTCTTTTTGGTTAAAATACATGACAAGAGTGTTCAATCATGAAATGAAGTGGGCTCTATCCAATGGGTGGTCTTTAACTTAACGCTAGGTTAATGTCCATTTAGTAATAAGTTCAAAGAAAGATCTCCTCTTTAAAAACAAGGAGTCTCTTCCCCTTAAAGGGGAATCTGTCACAAGGTTAAAGTGGAGTTCCAGCTAAAAAAAAAACAAACAACAGAAGTCAGCAGCTACAAAAACTGTAGCTGCTGACTTTTAAAATACATCCACTTACCTGTCCCTTGGTCCAGCTGTGTCCTCACCACCGTTGGTTTCACTGGCCGTCTTTCTCTCCCTGGCTCCGGCATCTTTAGTATTGGCACCTGGCTGTGACAGCTTGCAGCTTCACAGCCAGTTGCCCACTGTGCATGAGCGAGAAGCGCTGCGCTTTTTAAATGGCCCCGTAGTCTTATGGGACCCGTCACATGTCCCAGAAGACTATGGGAGGGGAGGAGGACAACTTCCTCTTCTGATCTCCTAGGCGATCGCAGCAGAAGTGGGAGCGGGTACCTGTCAAATTCGGGTACCTGCTCCCCAAAGGTGCCAATCCTTAATGGGGAGTGGGGAACAAAGCATTAAAGTGGAACTTCCCCTTTTGGGTGGAACTCCACTTTAAATGCCTTTTTGTTTCTTTGGCTGGGTAGTCTTTCTGGGCCAGTAAAGTTGAAACTATGTCTAAGACTAATATGCACACTGCGAGTCCTAGAATGGCAGCATCCATCTGAGCCTTTCCTTCACAAGCTTTTCAAAGAAATAGCGATCTAAGGCCTTAACACTTGTTTTTCAAAAAAGTTTGGACATTTTATTTGCATACTTGGTGTATATTTAAAGCCCACCTCGATGAAGATAAAAAAAAAATACACCCTTGCAGTGGGCCCCCCTTGCAATGCAAAAGGTAATTGCTTGTTTTCTCTACGGGATTTCAGAACAGGTTGCACCACTTATCTGTCTCCCACATTCCAGGAGGCTCCAGTGCTCTCTTCCTCTGCCCGAAATTCTGGTCTTTAGGCAGAGTCTCTGCATCATCACAAAAAATACAGGGATATTATCCTTCTATTGTACATTTTGAAGGCAGGAGTGTGAAGGGATCCTGTAACAGTTAACAGAGGGGCTGCAAGGGTCTGGGTGCAGGGCTAGAGGGGCCCTGCTTGTGTGATGCATGAGATAAGTAATTAGTACGCTACCCCTTGACATAAGAGCAATTAGCCCTTGTGGGGGGGGGGGGGGGGGGGGGTTGTCTGTCCTACTGCAAGGGTGGATTTTTTTTAATTTTAATGCAGTTGGCCTTCAGTTACAATGTTCATGAATTTTCTAGGGAGAGAGGTATTTCCTTTAGATTTAAATCTTTAAAAAAAAACCATATGCGTGCTTCCTCAAATATCTAAAAACCTTGTTTTTTTAAAGGTTCTGATTCTCTGACTTTTGTACAGACATCAGCAAATAATTTAAAAACCATTTACAAGATTTATGCAGCCTACCAATTGCTGCTTCAAAGATATTTTTGCCTGACTTAAATCATGTAATGAGGGCATCACGTCATTATCATTCATCTATTCTTTCTCTGTGCCTCTTTAATGAAAACTATATTTATAAGGTAAAGTTCCATAATGATAGAGCCAATTGTGCTATTTAGAAAAATGTGAAATAATTTCCAGGTTTTCTACTATCTAGAGATGTTTGGAGCAGTTTGTTCCATATTATGTTTTTTTGTTTTACTATACTAATAAATACCATATTCCAGCTACTGTAGGTCACATAATGTGTAACTTAGAAGACTTATAGTGAAAACTATAATGAAATCTAACAACATATTGTAAATGTACAGAAGTTTAACTTTACAGAACAACCCTGCTAAGCACTATTTATTTTTAAGCCCAACTCCAGCCAAAATGGTTTATTTAATCTTTGAGTAGGTAGGGGTTAGAGCCTCTGTGTCTGTTGGGACGATTTCCCTGTCAGCACAGTTTTAGTAGACTGGGAAGGGTTAGAATTTCTGCCAATGTTTTTGTTATCCCACTGACAACCACAGGGCCTATCATACCTAGCTGTCATGGGGACAGGATTAGAGCAGAAATTTCTCCAGAAGGTCACAGACGGAAATAAAAACTTGCCAGAATTTTTAACACTTCCCAATTTATCCAAAACAAAATAACAACAGTAGCAAACTGTGTACAGTGCATTCATAAAGTATTCAGACCTTCACTTTTTTCAATTTTAAGTTTCATTCTGATACATTTGTTTACATTCATTTTTTTTCCCCTCATTAAGCTACTCACAGTACCCCACAATGACAAAGCGAAAACAGCAGTTTAGAAACGTTTGCAAATGTATGAAAAAGGAAAACTAAAATTTCACGTTAGTATTCAGACCCTTTGCAGCAACACTTTAATTTAGCTTGGGTGCCGCAATTTCTCTTGATCGTTGCTGAGGTGTTTCTACACTTGAGTCCACCTGTGGTAAATTAAATTGATTGGACATGATTTGGAAAGGCACACACAAAGAGTACTGTGTCAGAGAAAAAGCCATACGGTCAAAGGAGCTCAGAGACAGGATTATTGCAAGGCACAGATCTGGGGAAGGCTACAATAAATTATGCTGCACTGAAGGTTCCCAAGAGCACTGCAGCCTCCATAATTCTCAAATGGAAGACGTTTGGCACAATCGGGACTCTTCCAAGAGCTGGTCGTCCAGACAAACTGAGCAATCGGGGGAGAAGGGCCTTAGCAAGAGAGGTGACCAAGAACCCAATGGTCACTCTGGCTGAACTTCAGAGATCCTATGGGGATCCAGAAGGACAATCATCACTGCATCCCTCCACTGATCCGGGCTTTATGGCAGAGTGGCTAGACAGAAACACACGAAAGCCCACTTAGAGTTTGCAAAAAAGCACCTGAAGGACTCTCAGACTGTGAGGAACAAGGTTGGTCTCATGAAACCAAAATTGAACTGTTTGGCCTCAATTCTAAATGTTATGTTTGTAGGAAACCAGACACCACTCATCACCTGCCCAATACCATCCCCTCAGTGAAGTATGGTGGCGGTAGCATCATGCTGAGGGGGTGTTTTTCAGCAGCAGGGACTGGGAGACTGATCAGGGTTGAGGGAAAACTGAATGGAGCAAAGTACAGGGATATCCTCAATAAAAACCTGTGCCATAGCACTCAGGACCTCAGACTGGGCTGAAGGTTTACTTTCCAACATAACAATGATCCTAAGCACAAGCTGAGTCAACGCAGAAGTGGCTTAGGGACAACTTTGTGAATGTCCTAGAGTGGCCCAGTCAGATCCCTGACTTGAACCCTTTTGAATGTCTCTGGAGAGACCTGAAAATGGCTGTCCACCGACTGTTCCCATCCAATCTGACTGAGCTTGAAAGGATTTGCAAAGAAGAATGGCAGAAGATCCCACCAATCCAGGTGTGCAAAGCTTGTTGGGTCATACCCAAAAAGACTCAAGGCTGTAATTGCTCCCAAAGGTGTTTCAACAAAGTACTGAGCAAAGGGTCTGAATACTCAAGTACATATTGACATTTCAGTTTTATCTTTTTAAAAAGTTCACAGACATTTCTAAAATTCTGTTTTCACTTTGTCATTATGGGGTAGTGAGCGTAGATTAACGAGGAAAAAAAATGAATTTATGCAACTGTAGTATCCAGCTGTAACATAACAAAATTGAAAAAAGTGAAGGGGGTCTGAATACTTAAGGACTGTACTGTATTTCTCTGGATCTGTTGTATGCTTTGACAAGTGGTTTTCATTGGCGTAACCGCTGCATATGTGTTTTCTTCATATATACAGG